TTTGGGGGATATACCCTGGAAATGACTCTGGTATCAATTCTCTATCTGACTAGGTGCTTTTCATTGTGGAATAATCCCAGATGGTAGGAAAATGATGCCCTAAACGATGGGATCCTCTCCAGCATTCTGCTGCAAATTTCTTTCATTCTGCAGGGACTGGTGGCTGAAAATAGCTACTAATCCTTTTGCACTGGCACTGTCCCCATAAAGGGGAACTTGCAAAGCTCCCAGTGACTCATACCATGGCCTTCCAGTGCCACTTTAAAAACACATCTAGCCGCACTGATCTCAGAACCCATCACTATCTAGCCCTTCTCCTCCTGTCCCTTCCCTTTCTTGAGTGCCTTGCCGCTTCCAGGACTTGACACACAAAGTGCTTGCCCTCTCAGCTGAATATGTAAATATTGTAGGGGGAAGAATAATGTTATGGGGCTTCTTTTCTCCTCTTTTACATTGCCAGGTAGCTCTAGAGAACAGAGTCCCTGTGTTTGGCCTTCAGCCGTGATCTCCAGGTGAGACTTATGAGAAGTGTTGGGCGCTCTGTAGCTTATTCCTTGGTTTTCAGGCCCTGCAAGGGCTGCTGCTGAGCACGTTGGAAACTGACAATCCACAGTCTCTGTGTTCTCTCTCTCTCTCTCTCTGTCTCTCTCTCTCTTATACCACCATGGGTTCTTGTATGGGCACCAACAAGCCCTATGCTTGGCTCGTTCCTGTCCTCACAGGAGAGGCTCAGGTCATTTGTCAGTTTTGGAGCTGTTGACTTCTTTCACTGGACACTTCCCATCGCTACAGAGTCATCCCAGTACTTCAAGCTCTTGTTCCTCCATGAAAGTCCCTGGTGTTGCTTTCAGGCAGGCTCCTCCTGGCGCTGGAGTGGCACTGAGGAGCTCTGGCAACGAGTCTACGCTGCAAGGCTGCCTGTAGCAGGGCCTTTGAGCGGAGTGTCAAGTGATCCAAATGGAACTCTCAAAAGCTGCGCTGTGCTCACTGCTTGGTACTTGGTCTGTGACTTGCTGTGACTCTGAGTACCTGTGAAATGGGCTGTGACTTACCTGTGTCCTGAGGGTCCTGCGACCTGCCATTTTGTAATATTTGTAAAGTGCTGCAGAAGGACACAATCATTCAACTCTCCTGCTGCAGTCATGGAGCAAGGGAGCAGTGGGAAGTTTGCATTAACCCCCTGGGGCCACTGCAGCGTCTGAATAAGTGCTCATGCAGGGAGGCAGACTAGCGGCCCTGGGTGCTGTGGCCCCTCCTTTCTCTGCTGTAAGTCTCAGTACTGCAGCAGCAGCCACAACTTAGGATCTGGAAGAAGCTGTGCAGGGGGAAAGGATTCGATTCTCCTTTCTCCAGAGAAAAGTCGGACCTTTGTTCTTGTTGCATTATCGCCCCCAGAAGCATGTGGCATCTCAGGTCTCTATTCCCTTGGGGTCTGGTGCTTGGGTTTATTTTGGACGAGCCTGGTGATTTACCACATCTGCAGTCCAGTTTCATGGGCCTTTTGATTTGTTAAAGAAAAATGCCCCCCTGGCCTTCAATGATTTGGAAACTAAGGAAAATCCCTGAGCGAGCTGTGGCATCTGTCACCTTGGAAAGAGCCAAATGCCTCAAGTGTCCTGCATTTCCTGCTTTTCCACGGCTGTGTCCACCAGCCACCCCCACGCTGCCAGCCATTGTGCATGGGTGGCAAGACAGCCTCATTCCACGAGTGGGTTCCACATTTAATAAAACCTGTCCTTCGTGGGATAAATAGCAGCAGGTGGCACTGTCAGAGGCACAGGACTAACTCAGGAGCCAGAGTGCTGCACCTCTGGGTGCTTTTGTTTATGCTGGGTAAAATTTTCAAACAAACTAAGACCAGAGAAAATAGAGCAGTGGAGTGAGTCTGCCCCCCTGCAGGCACATTGCAGCGGGGATTGCTCAGACATTAAACTAACACCATATTTGATTTTGTCCCAGGAAACAGCAAGAGTGAGAGTCAGAGGATGCATCTGCAGTACGTCATGTGCAATTCACAACTAAGTTGGGGTTTAACCGATTGTTCTGAGTGCCCTGTGGGGGGAGACCAAGGGACACAGCCCTTTTCCTGTTGGCTGGGCAGGACTGTCTTCCCCACGCATGTGCTGAGTGCTCAGGATACTGTCTGGAGCAGGCAGGGAGTTAGTCAGAAGCTTTAGCCCTCTACAGTGAAGAGGGCCGGGAGGGTTTTGTACTAACAAAACCTTGAAACAACCAACCCCTGTATCATAAGTGCTCCAGCCTGCAACCCTCTGACTGTTCATTCCTCACTGGGACCAGTTAGTGCTGAATCAAATGTTTGCAGTTCACCACAATTAAGCAGATTTATACAGAATTTATATGAACGTAGTGAGGACTCAGGCAGAGCCCTGAAGGGGGCAGTGCTAGGTTCAGATCATCTTTGCAGTCAGGTGCCTCTCCCCTCCCCCCCTTTTTGATCAAAGACTGGGTATTCCCTGAGATGTGCCTCTCCTCCCGTCGTGTACAGTTGCAGGTTGGGTGGGGTAAAGGGGCCCTCTTTCAAGTTCAGTCAACTGCCATCGGTAACTCTATCAAACTCGGTCTCTGAGTGGGGAAGAAAAGGTTCCTTTGGGTCCACTGGGATTAGAATATTGAATGCAAAAGAAAATATCCCACCAAGGCTACATGTGGCTACTGGGGCTGGGAAAAGCCAGCCAGGCCCCGCTCTGAGCTGACATGCAGAAAGAGAGAACTTGCTTTGTGCCAGCCGCACTGCGAGTTTGGTCAGACTTTTTCCTCTAGCTGGTCGGCTGAGCCCTGGGGTCTGTTCTCCCTCACTGCCCTCCTAGCTACTCCACACACACACACCAGCCACTTGTCTCCTATTGCTCATTTGCAGAGTGAACTGATTCTCGGGTGCAGAGTCAAAGCTCTGCCAATGCAGGGGGAGGAGCATTTCACGCAGCTACTCCTGTTAGAGCCTAAAAACCCACCAGCGGTTTCCTGGGACGTTACTCTGAGGACCCCAAGAGCCCTCACCTGTAGGTTTCTCCCAAGTTGAATGGCTGCCACCAGTGAATCACTATAGCGATGGCTGCGTTACTGCTCCCTTCTCTTCTATCCATGCTGCAGCTCCGACCAACCAACAGCTGGCATGTGCCATCTAGTGGCTCAACCCTAAACCTCTCCTAGCTGCCCAGCTGTGCTGGGCTCCTTCAGAGCCAGAGGTGGCAGCAGCAGTGGCTGCTCCCTTCTTTCAACAGTTCCCAAAAGGAAGGGCCCAGCACATAGGTGCCTGTTGGAATGCAGCCCAGGCCATTCTGCCTGTTGTTCTGCACATGGAGAGCGCCTTGCTGACAGCACACCCACCTAGCTGCAGGACCTGCACACCTTGTGTGTCATCTCCCTGGGCCTCACTTCCAAATCCAGTGAGGGAAGCCTCCGGGGATAGGGCAAATAGACCCTCATGTATTTTAGAAGTGAAGGAAAATCTGGATTGCAGTTGAGGACCTTAGGACTACCTGCCAAGTGATTGCAGGCTAGTCTCTTAGAAGCCAGGCTCTCGGGGTGTGGCTATGGCACGCTAGCTCCTGGATGGGAGAGTCTGAGGGTCCAGTAGTCAGGGCGGCCTGTCCTTGTAGAGCAGAGCTGCACAGTGTGCTCCCTAAGGCACATCAGAACATTCCAGTCTGTGTAGGAGTGATGTGAGGATAATTTCAAACCTTGCGCTGGCCCCGAGGGAAGCTGTGTCCCTTTGGCTAAGAATCAGACCACCAAGGCCACGGAAGTATGCTCCTCTAATGTAAAAGGAGTGACCCTTCTCCCACTAGCAAATTCTAAATGTGGGCAAGGGATACACTCCACTTCTTTTACCAGTCCAAAGAGCAGGCTTGAAGTGGCTCAATGGCTTCTTCAACATATCATGATTAAAGGGGGAATCTCCTCATCACTCATCCATGAAACTTAATTGTGCCAAGAGATTTGCAAGCATAATACCTGCATATTACCATAGCCCAGGGCTACTGATGATCAGGTTTGCACTGATACATATGCACTTACAGGACTGCACCCTCCTCCTGGCCTGGCCACTGCCCAAAGGGGTCTGCGAAATAGCTTTTGGCACTGACCTCAGACCCTACCAAATGTGAGGCCTTACCCAGGAAGAGACAGGGCCAGCAGTGCCAGTCCTCTTCCTGAGGTTCAGCCTAGTGGTTAAACAAAGATCAAACGTTTTCCTCCCAGCAGCCAGATCACCTTCCAAGCTGTGTGACAACTTGAAAACGTAATGAAAACGAGGTGAGCTAGAGAGGGGGCAAAACTTGTGTTATTCAAGTGACCTGATGGAGATTCTTGCCCCTATTGTCCTCCTGGTATTGACTGAGGTAGCACCTTGAGCCAGCTTGCACGCTTTGTCAGTGATGCTGTTCCTGCAGCAGGGCTACACTCGGCAGCCAATGTAGAAAGAACAGTAGAGATGGCTGTGGCTTTTCTCTGCTCTTTGGAATGGTGGACCCAAGACAAATCAGGGAGGTCTCTAAACCCAATGGAAACCTTCCTTGCAAGTAGCAGGATCATAAATTTAGACAGCAGAGCAGGGACTTCCCTCCAAAACAAACAAGGGGCGTTTCTAAAAGGGTGGGGGAGAGCGAGCCACCGAGGGAAGGGGAAATGTAGTGAGTGAGGGCCAGGGCCTTGGGGAAAGGGCCTCAGGGAAGGGGCATGGCTAGGGTGTTTGGTTTTGTGGGATTAGAAAGTGGGCAACACTAGACACTTGAGGGGAAGGCTCTGAGTTACTACAGAGAATTCTTTCCCAGGTGTCTAGCTGGTGGGTCTCACGCCCATGCTCAGGTCTAACGAATCACCGTATCTGCATTGGGAAGGAATTTCCCCCCAGGTCAGGTTGGTAGAGACCTCGGGGGCGGGTGCAATAACTCAGTGCAGGGGTTGTCCAGGCCTGAAGGTCACCCCTGAACACAAGGGCACAGATATATAAAATAAGCAGTTCCAATAGGAAACCTCTTTATTTAGAATCATTGTGTTATACATGAACAGAGAGCTTACATTGTACGATACCAAGACCACCAGGGTAGTGAACAGCAAGCACCATGTAATAATAGGGAGGCAAGATTCCCAACTCATCCCACTCTCAGATGCTATTGGAACCCAGTAGGTTAATTACCACTACCTGACTGGAGGAGGTATGGCACTGACGCCTCCCTGAGTCAAGGGGAGATAGGAGTAGCCTGCAAGAGGCACCAACGCCCCCATGAGGAAGAGGTGGGAAGAGAAGAAATGCTCTCCTCACCCTACGAAAGAGCAGAAAGGCATTTGAAAGTAGGGTAAAGCCAAGAGACCTGCCACCATGGCAGAGCCACTCAGTGATAGAGACCAGAGAGGAGCCCACTGGGCCTTGTGTTGCAGAGGAAGCTATTTCTTCTGGGCTTTGACCTGGCTGTCAGGTGGGATGGCTTTCCCCAGGTGCTGCCCCACACTCAGCCCATATTTCTGAGCTTTCTGGCGGTCCTGCACCTCCTGTTTCAGCACAAAGCCCCCTACGTAGCTCAGATCAAAGTTGATGTCTGGAACAAAACTGATAGGTTTCTCTTCCCAGATAGCTTCCAGTTGCTTCTTCCAGTCCTCCAGGATCTGCAAACGGGCATCCTTAGGAGCGTGACTAATGCTGTAGGCGATTTGGGGCTCCTAGACTTGCAAGCCACAGAAATGGAGCAGGCCACTCTAGAATGAGAAAACACAGGAAAGCTCTAAGACTGCCAAGGCTTTTATTTAGGCAGGACAGGCCGCCTTCAGTTCAAGGCTATTACAACTACTGGAGAAGGCCGAGAACCAAGAGTAACAGCACATACTGGTACCCTCAGGGTTTCTGGTTTGCTATGAAAATCTAATTCCTCAAGTTATGTCTTGTTCTATGGGTTTAGCTGTACAGCAGGAGGGGTGACTTGCATCCCCTTGTGCTGCAGGAATTTTGGCCTGGAGTTTTATAGATTCCAAGAACAGAAGGGACAATTGTGATCATCCAGTCTGACCTCTGCTGTAGCACAGGCTGCAGAACTTCCCAGAACATAGCTTCTAGAAAGAGATCCAATCTTCATTTAAAAGTTGCCCATGATAGAGAATCCACCAAAACCCTTGGTTCGTCCCATGGTTAATTATTCTGTTTCCCCTCTGATTTTGTCAAGCTTCCAGCCACAGGATCTTGTTCTACCTTTGTCTGCTAGATTGAGCAGCCCATTATTAAATATTTGTTCCCTTGGAGGAACTTAGAGCACACTCATCAAGTCACCCCTTATCCGTCTTTGTTACACTACACAGATTCAGCTCCTTGAGCCTATCACTACATGGTTAGAAAACCTGCCTTATAACCAATCTCATGGCTCTTCTCTCAAATTTACAACATCCTTCTGGACTTGTGGGCACCAGCACTGGACACAGGATTCCAGCAGTGGTCGCACCAGTGCCCAATGCAGAGGTAAAGTGACCTGTCTGCTCCTACGTGAGATTCCCCTGTTCATGTATCCCAGTCAGTGTTTCACTGAAAGCTCATGTGCAGCTGAGTAGCCCCCAAACTCTTCCCAGGCTCCAGTCCTCCAGCCTGTAAGCAACGCTGACATTCTTTGGGCCTAACTGTACACCTTTATGTTACCCATACTAAAACTCACAGTGTTTGCTTGGGCCCAGTTGAATGGGACTCTTTAGTTTGACTGTTTCTCTTCAGTTCCCATCTGTGCTTCAAACAGGCAAGCAATACCTGCCAGCAACCCTGAGCCTTCCTCACCCCCTGTGCACGCAGGTTGGACCTGACCCCAGTTTCCCAAACTAGCACTGTGCCAGGGGCTGAGCAGGGGCGTCCTGGCACAGCAACCGAGGGATAGAGCCCTGCGTTACAGTGGAGTCAACCTAGATGTAGAGAAATGGCTTTGGGCCTCAAATCGCCAAGCCTACCCCATATCTAGTCTCTTTTCCAGCTGGCTGAGCCTATCCATCTCCACTGAAGCCTTGCCCTGGGGAGTTCCACAAGCCAGTGTTCAGTTCTATTACCCACACCACAGGCGGATACGCATATACGTGCTAGCTTCACCCTCTGGGGCAGGAGGGACAGATCCTTCCCTTTACAGGGACACTATCACCTCTCCCACTTTCCAGAATAGTGTCCGGTAATGATTATGCTTCTCTTTCAACCCAGGACTTTCCCCTTTCCTCTGGCAGGGAGAGATGGTACCTGGAATATCAGAAGGTCTGCAGCTTCAAGCTTCTTCTGTTCTGCTACAATGTCGCTGCTCAGCCAACCTTCTGCCCATGCCAAGGCTGTCTCAGGACCATACTTGAAGTTCTTGGGGTCTTTTGACTTACCTGAGATAGGAGACAGAGGTCAGTACTAAGAACAAAGATGGGAAATGCTGAACTTTAAGGGGAGTAGTGATGTTCAGTACCAGTGATGGCACAGGGTTAAACTTCATCTTGTATAGGTCAGAAATGGTGACACTCCAGCCTCTCTTCTGCAGCACGCCCACAGCAGCATCTTTCATGGCATGATTGAAGGAGTTCTTCTCCTCGTGTGCCAACACAATCAGGGCCTTTCTTCCTGCAAAGCACATCAGCAAGCTAGAGCCCTTTCCTCCTTTGTGGGAGAAAGGGACACCCAAGAGACCAATCATAAAACTGAGCAGCTTTTCTATGATTTGCCTTTGGGGTGACCAAGAACTGACCCTTTAGAACAAGGGGACTGACTATTCTGTGCACTTTCATAAACCCACAGGTGTCACTCAAAGCATTGCAAAGTGTTGTGTGATTAGTATGTGGGACTTCCCTACTGTTCCTAAGAACTGTGCACAGATCCTAGCTGATGCAACAGTCCGTTCAGCAATTGGCAGGGGTGGGGGCTGTGTACAAGCCTCCCTCCATGCACCCTCCCAGACACATGCTCCTAGTACATGCCGTACTCCAGACTCAGCAACAAATCTGAATCGAGGCAGGAGGGATTTGGGGGCAAAGGGGAGGACAAAGTATATCCCATAAAACCCTGTCTAGCAAAACTTCATACATCAGCCCAACTTGCCACCACCTCTCCTGGTCAGCCAGGGATCCAGCTGTCATGGACAGTGGTCCTCAGAGGGCAGTACTGTGATACCAGACCCTTGGCCCAAACCTCATGTTACAGCCTGTAAATATGAAATTTATTTGCATTACTGTGTCCTCTAGGAGCCCAATGTGCTAGGTACTGCACTACCAGAGCAAAAAAGATGGTCCTTGTGCCAAAGACCTCCCAAGCCAAGTAGAAGACAAGAGACCGACCGACAGGGGAGCATGAGAATCAAGGAGATAACGTTGGCTGGCACAACAGGTGATGGCCCCAGCAGCCCAGGGTTCCATATGCACCCCAGGAAAGGTGGGTTCTGAAGGAGGACACTGCTGTGTGGATGTTCATGCGAAGCACCTCTCGTGCGAGCCTGTAGGTGCCGGTTTGAAAATGTAACTGGGCACTGGAGGCTGGCACCACTGGCTGATTGATCGAGGCAGAAGTCCATACTGACTGAAAGGTGACAGGTTGGGTGGTGGCAGGCCATGAAGGGCCTTGGAAGGAAAGACAAGTAGCCTGATAAAGAGGAACCAGTGGAGGGATACAAAGAGGGATGGTGCCGTAATCCTTATGAGAGCCCGGACAAGAGTTTTAGCTGTGTGGATGGATCGGAAAGGGGCTCTTAGATGTTACACACAAAGAATTGGGAAGATTTACTCAGCCTGAGTGACAGGCAGGGAGGTAGTAGTGTCCAGAGAGACCAAGAAAGGAAGTAGCAGTGAGAGCAAGATGAAGAGCTCTGGTTTAGCCATGTTGAGCTAGAACAAACAGCTAGACCTCCACAAGGTGCTGTCAGAGAGACAGGCTAAGGTTTTCATTTAGACAGGAGAGCGAGCTCTGAGTCATCAGCGTCAAGATGGTGGTTGAATGTGTGTTTGTGGATGAGATTTCTCAAAGATAAAGGGGTAGAGGGAAAATAGAAGGGGGACCAAGGACCGAGCCGTGTGCACCCTCCACACAAAGCTGGAGGGGTGGGGAAGGATGAGGAGGATCCTCTGAAGAACACAATGAAGGAGCAATTAGAGAGGTAGGAGGAGAACCAGGAGAGGACAAGATTTCAAGGAGAGGAACATAATCAATCGTGTCAAAGGCCAAGGAGGATTCATAAATTCCAGAGCCTGATGGGACCATTGTGATCATCTAGTCTGACCTCATGCATAACGCAGGCCAGAGACCTGCCCTAAAATAATCCCTACAACCTATCCTTTGGAAAAACATCCAATCTCAATTGGAAAAACTGCCAGTTATGGAGAAACCACCATGATGAAGGTTAAGATTTTGTTGCTATTATTTTTAGGAAAAGTCGCGTACAGGTCACGGGCAATAAACAAAAATTCACAGAAGGTTATGACTTGTCTGTGACTTTTACTACAAATAACCAGGACTGGGGGGAGGGAGAAGGACTGACAGCTCCAGCTCCCACTCCCAGCACCAATGACAGCAGCTTACAGCTCCAGGGCCCCCTCCAGCATGGGGCTGAAGCGGAAAATGTCACAAAGGTCTCTGAAAGGCACAGAATCCGTGACCTCCATGACAAAAATCTTATTCTGAACCATGACCCTTGAGAAGTTCCTCCAAGGATAGTTACTCTCACTGTTACAAGTTTACACCTTTTATTTCCAGTCTGTATTGTCTAGCTTCAACTTCCAGCATGAGTTGAATCGTGTTAGACCTTTCTCTGCTAGATAGAAGATCCCATTTTTCAATATTTTTCCACCATGTAGAGGACAATACGCTACAGACAAATCAAGTCAGCCCTTAACCTTCTCTTTGTTAAACTAAGTAGATTGTGCTCTTTGAGTCTGTTCCTATCAGGCAGGTTTTCTAATCCTTTAATCTTTCTCATGGATCTTCTCTGATCCCTGTCCCATTTATCAACGTCCTTCTTGACTTGTGGGCACCAGAACTGGATGCATTATTCCAGCAGCGGTCTCAACAGTGCCAAATACAGAGGTAAAATAACCTCTCTACTCAGACTCAAGATTCCACTGTTTATGCATCCCAGGATCGCATTAGCCCTTTTGGCCACAGCATCACAGTGGGTGCTCATGTTCAACGGATTATCCATCACGATTAAGGCTGCAAGTCTGTCACAGAGGTCATGGATTCTGTGACCTCCATGACTTCTGAAGTGCCCAGTGCGCCTGGCTCAAGGGCAGCGTGGGCAGCCCTTGCACCAGGTGCACTGGCCGCTGCTGGGGCAGTCTCGGGCCACTGCACCCTACACCCCTCCAGCAGCAGAGTTGGGGTGTGGGAGGGTGCAGGGGGTTGGGGCATGGGAGGGGATGAGGTGGGCTCTGGGTGGCACTTATTTGGGGGGCTCCCCAGAAGTGGCGACATCCCCCTTGCTCAGCTGCCAGGTGGAGGCGTGGCCAGGCAGCTCTGTGAGCTGTGACTAAAATGTAGCCTTAATCATGATCCCCAAATCTCTTTGGGTCACTGCCTCCCAGGATAGTTTCTCCCATCCTGTAAGTGTGGCCTGCATTCTTTGTTCCTAGATATATACATTCAGCCATATTAAAATGCATCTTGTTTGCTTGTATCAATCTATCCAAATCATTCAGTCAGGGACCTGTCTTCATTATTTACCACTCTCCCAATTTTTGGCAGATCTGCAAACTTTTACTGATTGATTTTATGTTTTTTCCCAGGTCATTAATAAAAATGTTAAATAGCACAGGTCCAAGAACTGATCCTTGTGAGACACTCCCCCCAGAAAGGTTTTCACTCGATGATTCCCCATTTACAAATACATTGAGACCTATCAGTTAGCCAGCGTTTAATCCAGTTAGTGTGCCGTATTGGTTTTTCTGTTTCTAGTTTGTTTGTAAGGCTGCTTGTCTTGAGGGAAAGAGTGAGAGGTTAGGGAGAACAATGAGGTCAGCGCGAGAGGGCGCGCAAGTATGATAAGGAGATGGATGACTGGGGCAAGCGGAGGAGAGCAAACAAGTGTGTGTGCATGTGACAGGAGGAGGTGAGAACTGCAGGGGAATGCAAGCCAACGGGAGGGAGAAAGACATCTTGTGTCTTGTCAACTTTCTTTTGGAGGAAATCTGCGAGATCCTGTGCAGAGAGAGAAGTGGAGACTTGGAGACGAGGGTTTGAGGAGTGAATCAAAGGGAGCAAACATGCAGCTGAGATTGCAGGCCTGGAGTTCAGCCAACTGGAGAAGTGGGGTTGTTTAGCAAGGAAGATGGCAGAAGTGAGGGAAGAGATCATGAATTTGTAAAGGAGGAAGTCGGCCTGGTCAGGGGATTTCTGCTGGAGATACTCCACAGCAAGAGTGAAGGCAGCTGATGTTGGAGATGAGCCAAGGCTCCTCTGGCCCCCTGCCCTGGAGCCGCTCAGTTCAACCCCACCATGACCTGGGCACTGTCTGCCCAGCAGTCTGCAGCACCAGTCCACTCCCCATTCCTTGCCTAGTCCTAACCACTCCCACTCCTGGGTCCACCCCTACAGGGGAGGGCCTAATTTTCAGGCTCCAAGCATGGGACAGCCACAGAAGGTAGCAGCTTGGGTAGGGGGCTTCCCAGGCAGCAGGGCCCATAGCAGCCAGTACTGGCTGGTGCCACCAGGAACAGCCCTGTGCCATTCAGTGTCTGAGCTATAACCATGAGTTCCCTGACCTGGGTAGGGACGAGCTGGGGAGGGGGAGGGGAGAACTTCCCCAGAGCCTGTTGGGGGCTCTTCCTTTCCCCCACCATGGGCAGCCCCACCTGCCTCTTTCCCTATGGGGTAGCCACCACCCCCCAGGAAAGAAACCAGGAGAGCTCCCAAAATCTGCTACCCTCAGGAATCTACCACCCTGGGCAACTACCAGAGTTGCCAATTGCCAGCATGGCCTGTGTGTGCGAGGGGAGGAGATGGGGGTGGGTGCTTGGTGGAGACCAAGTCAACTGATCAGCCCCTTTGGTGAGCAGTTGAAGCAGGGGATATAACTTGCCCTTGGCAGTGGGACTGACTTCTGTGTATTTGGGAGACAAGTGCAAAGGTGCTGCCCAACTGTGGGGAACCTCTCAACTGCTTCTACGTTATAGTTTTGAACCCTCTCTAACAAAACTCATTCCCCTGTCCACCAAGCCCAGCCTCTGGTCTCTAGACCCCAGACACAGCTACTTCAGCCCTGCTCTGCTCAGATTTGTTTGATATTGATTCCAGAGCATGAAGGGAGGGTCCTGGATTAGTGAGATACTCGCCTTGTGATCAATTTATGGATCTGGACTATAGATGTCTGTAATGGGCTGAGAGAAACCACAGCTGTTTCACTATGACTCTGCACCCAGGGGTCAGGATACTGTGTCACAGCCAGGGCCATGGAAAACATAAGAACGGCCACATTGGGTCAGACCAAAGGTCCATCTAGCCCAGTATCCTGACTGCTGACAGTGGCCAATGCCAGGTGCCCCAGAGGGAATGAGCAGAACAGGTCATCATCAAGTGATTCATCCCCTGTCGCCCATTCCCAGCTTCTGGCACACAGAGATGAGGGACACCATCCCTGCCAT